ATGAAGAGTTAAACTAACTTGCCCTTTTGCTTTCTTCCATGTAAGTTTGCAGCAAGAAGACCTTCCATTAGCTGATACTAGTTGCTTGATTTTACTAGCTTCTTAAACAGTAAGAAAACTAATTGCTGTTCAATTTATGAATACACCAAGAAAAAGTTTCTATTATCATTTGAATATTTTTAGTTGAAATGTTTTAAACCTATTGTTGGTGCTGCTTTTTTGATGGTTGATTGCTGTAATTAATCTTACTTCAACTAATTCTTTCATTAAGAAAAGTGATAATCACATAATCTTTCACATATCCATGACAAACATTTATACCCCAAATATTCTTAGAGGACTCTTAAAGCTTTCCCACCAAATACAGGCTAAAAATAATATAGTGTGAAAGATTTAAATTTCATATGATGTAACATGGTTTAAAATAACAAACCAGAGTTGACTGGAATTTTGTGGAATCCTTTTCTCTGAAAGGCACTTGTAAAAGCACTTGCAGTGGTTTTAACATCTGAGTGCTTTAGTATCTTAATGGTTAATACATTAATTGCTGGTTTAATAGCACATCTGTCTGAATGGCAGCGGGATGTACTGATCTTTGAAACATTCGCTACAAATTTCATTATTTGATAAATACAACACCAAATATTTCTTTAGGGTTTTGTATTTTACAGAATGTCCTTTCAAATACATTTTATCATTTAATCTTTATGATAATTTTGTTTTGTATGCATGATTGTTTCTATTTTTTACTGCAGAAACATTCTTGATTAAGTGATTTGCATGAGGTACTCAGACTTGTGCAGAATAAACTAAACTGTGCAGGTACAAACTAAACTGGCTATATTCAACTATATAATATTTTATCAATGTGGTGATGATCATGAAGATGATAACTTTTAGTATATAGAAAAACAAATTCATTGTAAAACATGATATCTATTTTTATTTATTTATTTAAAATCCTTTTAATTCAAGGGTAAAAAGAAAGGAAAAAAAAAGATGGAGAAAAAAAACTACAACAAAATTTCCAAACACATCAACACACTGTATATTGCCATCCCCAAATCATTCACCCAGAGCACAGGACACCTGAATTCAATTGTTAAAACAATACCAGCACAAATCTTTTCAGTGAACTCAGTTAATATGATCTCATTTTAAAAAGGATTTCCTTTAATTATAAATATCATGGTGTAAAATACCAAATATTTCACCCTTTTGGATTTATCAACAAGAGGTTGACAAGGTATTTAAAAGAGAAAGAGGCCTGGATTTTCTTGTACACAAATTTTACCTGAATAAAAAAGTTGAAGGAAATTCCTAATCGCAGTATGCTATGAAACATAACCTAGTAAATAACCAGTGTGACTTCCATAACATAACATCCAGAGATAGACCCACGCAGATGGGATGTGGACAAAACACATGTGAATGTTTAAATTTTAAAAAATCATTATAGCAAAATATATATTGTCATTACCCCCACAAAATACTCTTCCCTCACTTCAGACACATCATTCTTCTACTTTCTAGATCAGTTCTAGAAGTTCTCTTTTGTAAGTATCTTTAGTTACATTGTTATGGCTGTCTTAGTTCACAATCATTTTGACTTTGAAAGATACCCAGAAATCTCTAGGTGCCAGATTTGGTGAAGAAAGTGGTAGGAACACACCATAATGCTTTTATTTAACAGAAATTGCCATAAACACTTTTGAGTCAGTTCAGGACATCAAGACAACTATGACAGTGTTAACTTACAGATATTCACTAAAGAGGACTTGTAAAACTTTCAGAAAGTGGCAAGAATGATGGGATAAATATGTTCAGATTGAGGCACAGTATCCTGAAGAAGAATAAAGCAATGTGTTTTTCACTGTAATAAATTTTTAAAATTTAAATCTTTGTATTTTTATATATCTGATCTTTGACAAAACTGTGAAGAAAATGCAGTGGAAAATAGTCTTCTCAATAAATTGTGCTAAAATGTCTAGATATCAATTTACAGAAAAACAAAATATATGATGCACAAAAATTATCTCAGAAAAAATTGTAGGCTTAAATTTAAAAACCACAAGTCTAAAACTCCTAAAAGGTAACATAGGAGAAAAATCAAAGTAACCTTGGGAATTATAATGGTTTTCTAGATACACAATCAGTGCAATAAAAAAGTGAAATTTATTTTTCTATACACTGAAAATTTGTTTTAATAATTATGTATATGAGTTGGGTGGGCAGCACTTGCCCATTAATCTCCTCATCCTAGGAGGCTGAGGCAAGAGAATTACCAGTTTGAGCTCAGCCTGGGCAATTTAGTGACTTAGTAAAAAAATAAAAAAAGAATTCAAGAAATAAAAGGATCTAGGATGTATCTCAGTAGGAAAGCTTTTGTTTTAATTCCTGGCATCTCCCACAAAAGTCTATGAATTAAAACATATTTTAAAACCCTATTTAAACCCATATTTTTTTTTTTTCATTTGAGAATTGAACTTGAGATTTCACATCGAACTACATCCCCAATCTTAAAAATTTTTAAAGTGTTGAGACAGGGTCTATATATATGAATTTTCCCTTTAATTACCCTGTCACAGTAGATCTGTAAAATTCTAAATAAAAACACTTGACAAATTTCAAACCAATGTTTTCCAGCCTGCCCCTAGGTCCATCAGTCAGTCTGTACAACTGTCGCCTCTTAAATCTGCTTCTGGCAATTGTTAACATTTTTCAATATGCAGTCTTTGGAAGAAGGGAAGTTTGCTAACTTTCCAACAAAAATATTAGTGAGTTTCCCGTTCTCAGTACTCAATATTACTTACAGCTGAATAACATTTCTGACATGATGACATTGTTTGACAGCTGGAATAGTGTCTTGATTCAACACGACAATTTAGCGAAAAGGCCAAATGTCAAATGAGCATAAGAATCAGTGATCTCATACTTTTTCATCTTGTTAGTTCCTTGCCAAACCAGAAGTTCAAAGAAGTGGGAAGTTTATTTTCATGAGGGTTGGCCACAGTAGGCTTCGCTCTCTGATATATGAATCCTAGTGCTTTCCCTCATTCACACTGGGCTCCCTCTTCCTGTGATACCTGGAATGAAATGGCTCTGACATGGTTCTTTTGTAAGACTGTACCAAACAGACAGAGTAGAGGTATGTGATGAGAATGACGTCCTAAAAGTATGCCTGTGCAGCTTTTCTCACAATTTCAGGCATTTTTTTTTCATTGTTAAATCTTGCAGTATAGAGTCTTTTTCTGATTATTATTAGAATTATGTAAAATCTTGCATGTTCAGGAGGCAGGTATCATGGGAGTTGTTTGTTTGTTTGTTTGTTTTTATTTAGACTGTCTCTAATATCAGTCCTATAAGATGGACATGTTTAATATTATTTTGAAGGCTGAGAGATGAAAAAATAATTTTATCTAATTTCTTATTGATAACCATTCAGATGCCCTTAAATTCTAAAGTTTTACACATCCTAATCATAGTTGGCTTTTAAACATTCTTTCTGAATATCAACCTCAAATCATTGTTTAAAACCATTCCCTGTTTAGATCAGTGCTTCTCAAACTTAAATGTGCATGAGAATCATTTGAGTACAGGATCTTGTTAAAGGCAGATTCATTAGGCCTGAGTTGTATCATGAGAACCTGCCCTTCTGACAGCTTTCCAGATGCTGCCGGTAGTACTGAGCTTCAGACTACGTGACAAGGCTCTAGAGCTTCCTTTCCTGATACAGAAGCTCATAGGCACATGTGGCGAATGAGCACTTAAAATGAACTAATGTGAACTGAGTTGGGCTTAAAGTATAAAACGCATTCCAGATTTTGATGGTTTAGTATAAAAAAGAAGAATGTCAAATATAATAGATTACATACTGAAATGATATTTTTAATATATGAACTTGAATATAATATACTATCAAAATCAATGTCATTTGTTACCTTTTAAAATTACTATAAAAATTTTAAATTTGTGTATGCATTTCACATATTTCCATTGGACAAGCTAGGCGTGGTGACACGTGCCTGTAATTCCAGCACTCAGGAGGCTGAGGCAGGAGGATTGCTGGGCGTTCAAGTCCAGCCTGGGCTACAAAGTGAGTTCAATGCCAGCCTGAACTACCTAGTGAAACCCTGTCTCAAAACAGAACAAAACAAAACATTTTCATTGGACAGTGCTGCTCCAGAGAATCCTCTTGAATCTTTTTCTATCCATTTATTGCTCAGCATAGCCTTGCATTGTCAAATGTGACACAGTGCTGTCTGCACAGGAAGCTTTTGAAATCCAAGCATACATATCATTCTTCATTGTAGGTGATTATGTCTTTCCTGCCCTTGTTTCAGCAACCATAGAAAAATACATTTTAACAAATCTTCAGTGGTGACCATTGAATGAGTTTTGAACCCTAAACATTTGCTTTGGCCTACTATAGTATACTTCAAAAGTTCTTAGCACAGAACATTTTATTTTACTTTATGCACAATATGTTTTAAACAGGAGGGGCTATATTAGTGTTTAGGTCCATCACAGCCAACCTCTATGCATTGCTCATAGTACTTATGGTTTGCCTGGCTTCTGTCCTCTCTGTTAAGGGAATTTTCAATAACTGTAGTATAAAGCTAATCAAAACATAATTAGGAAGGCAAATTCCTATAAAAAACCATCATCTAATGCATTTCAGAAAAGAGATTTGAGGATTATCTGTACCATCGATTTCCTATTACAGGATAATTAAAAATGGATTGAAAGAGAATTGCTTAAAAATAAAAAAAGGTTACTACTTCATTTCAGTACTTTCTCATGACTGAAACAAGGGACTTCTAAAAGTCCTTGGCTGGAAAAGTAAAGAATACGTCACAAATGCTGTGTCAGAGATTTGAAGAAGCATTTACTCATTGTTAATTTGAGGTTCAAGGAACACTGCTCTCTAGTATTTAATGTAGCATGCAGTTGCTTTCATCCATCATTCATTCACTCTTTTCTTCTCTATCTTCAACCAGCTCACAGGCTCAGACCTTCAAGAAGTAACTTCCTAGGTGCCTAATAAATCAAGTGCTTATAAATCAGGGTTCAGAAGGCAGCCCAATATAAAGGACAGACACATGAAAATTCTCAAGTTTCCAGGCCATCCTCTTTTGCTTCTAATCTCTGAGGTAATCTGGTGTTCACTCTATTTTTCTGACCACTCATGAATCAGTGTCATCATGTAAAAAATTTCAAGCTGGGTGTGTAATCCCAGTGTTTGGGAGGTGATCCAGGAGAATTATGGTGAATTTGAAGTTAAACTGGATTACACAGTGAGTGTAAGACCAGCAAGAAGTATGTAGCAAGACCCTGTCTTAGAAAATGAAAAACAGGATTCTTCAATTTTTATGTACAGTTTTCTCATATGTATTTTCATATATTACATACTTCTGTAGATCATTAAGTGTTCCAAATTATGTCAGAAATATAGCAGCAGTGTATGTATATATGATGACTAATACATTGCTGAAACAATAAAAATAACTATTCCTTTTGCCTGATATATGGCAGATAAAAAATTGAGTAATTTAATAAATATAAATGCTAAACAAATACCCAAAAAAAAATTTCAGAGGAGCTGTAAACGTACCTAGTACTGAAGTTCTTGAGAAGGCTTAATATTTTTTCCCAGTCAATAATTACAAAAATATTTACTGATACTAGTATAACAAAAAGTTCTATAACATTTAATGTGTAGGCTAAGGCTTTAATTCTGTGGTAGAGCACTTGCCTAATATACATGAGACTCTGTGTTTTATTCCTAGTACAAAAAAAAAGTTTAACATATGCAATTTTTGTATTCTAAGAAAAGCTTGGAACTTTGTGTTCATTCTGTTTTAAAGGCAGGCCTTACTCCTATCAGTAGCAGTTATCTTAAACAGCTTGCCAAGTTACTCTCTTACCTGTGGAGTCAGTGCCAGCCAAGGGCTTGCGAATAGTCAAAATCTTTGTTGACAAGACATTGAGGCATGTCATTCATCTGCCCACCTTGTCTTACAGATGAGAAAGTTTTAACTAATAATGATTTGGAATCATGTTTTAGGATCTTTATTAAAGAATACTCTACCAATGGAACTTTATTTGTTCATGGTGTGTGTGTGTGTGTGAGTATAATGCTAATTTAGAATTGATTATCAATAAAAATGTTTATTTTCATGTGCTTATGAACCTATCAGTGGATTTTGATGAAATCATTTATGCTTTACTAGAATATAAGCTTCAAGGGGAAGGCAACTTGCCTTTTTTCAGGCTTGCACCCCTTCCCATATGCTCAATAAAGTTTTCTAATTAAATGTTATCTGTAATCACATAAGCAAGGCATGAAGAAATGGAAAGGCACTTTTATTTCTAGCTTTTGCTTCATCAATGTTACCAGAACAAATTTAAGGTTCCTCATTTCTGAGAAAAAGGTAATCTTGATATTCCAATGTAATGTATCCTCTGAGAAAAAATGATTCTTTTCAATTTTTAGAAGCCACATATGGCTATGCATTTGAGGAGCTTCCTCTAACCAGATTGCATACATGACGGTCGTTAACCTAATGATGACACTGAGACAGGACAAAATTAATTTCTTGTCCTAAAATATAGATTTTTAAGACTTCATCTTTTCTATCTACAACCTCTCAACATTCTGTTCTGCAATAACTAAGCCCAGTGGCATTCATGTGTAGATTCAGCCTCTAGGCAATCTTGCCAGAGTCAGAAAGAATTTAAGAAACTGTTATGATTTGTGTCTAGATGTCTCCCCAAAGCCTCACACAGTCATGAACCAGATGGTTCAAAGGTGGATGAGTTTGGAGGGTGTATACCAAATTAGTCCACTGATAGGTTTGGCATAGTTCTGGCAAGGATTAAGGGTGTGTACTCTAAGGGTAGGTAGCCCGCGTAAAATATAAGGGACAGAAGGAAGCTAATGCTATCTTGACTGTTTGCTGTGGGTTATTTCTCCTCTGCCCTGCCCCTCTGCCATGTTGCCCTGCCCGGCCAGTCAACTATGTGCTGAGCCAGCTAAATCTTTGAGAGGCAAATAATTCTTTATTTGTGAGCCAAAAACCTTTCCTCCCTTAATTTTGGGTGTCAGGTATTTTGTCTTAGCAATGAGAAAGATAATTTAGAGATGGGCCTTGCTCAAATTTGAAGACATACATTCTCTCAACTTGAATCTCAAGTATCAATTTCTGTTTATTTCTGAGGCAAATCCTTCTTAAATTATCCCATCACCACACATATCCCAGTATCTGAATTGGATATGCATGTCTGAGTTCATCAGCCAGAACCTCTCATCCCTCTGAAGATCATATTAGTACCCATTTCCTTTACCTAGTGCTGGCAGATCCCTTTATTGTCAGTTGTGAGCGATCCTCAAATAGTACCTGCTTCTGTTTCCTGGAATGTCATTTTATCTGCTGTAAATACTCTCACTATAGTATAAGCAGGTGAAAAAATCATGGACTCTGAATCAACCTGACCTGCCTATCAGTCCTCACTAAGTTTGGTTCAAAGGATGGGTTTTGTCAAAACTCTTACTACCATAATTAATCATTTCATTTTTTTATTATTTTACAAGATCCTGAAAAATCATCTGTAATAAGATAATTTGCTAAAATTTTAAATTTTGGAGGTATTTTTTTCCAGAATTTACTAAAACATTTGGATTAATTTTAAAAATTCTCTTTAAAAACTGTGGTAAAATATACTATTTTAAAATATGTAATTGAGTGCATGAAGTTATATTCATTTTGTATAACTATCAACACTATCCATCTCAAGAATTATATCTTTGTAAACTAAAACTCTATCCATTAGAAAACACACATTAGTCACTCCTCCCCCACAGTCCCTAATCCTTCCAGGTCATGACGACCACCATTGTACTTTCTGTCTCTATGGATTTGACTACCCTAGGTATTGCATGTACTGAAATCACACAGTATTTGTTCCTTCTGATTATTTTGCTTTGCATAATGTCTTCAGTTGTATAGTATCCATGCTATAGCATGTAACTGGATTTTTTCCTTTTAATGGCAGAATCATCTGTTGTATGCATATATTACGTTCTGTCATCTATTCCTTTGTTAATAAAAACTTGGGTTGCTTGTACTGTTGGCTAATGTAAATAATGCTGCTATGACTATGAATTTATAATAGTTGCTTATGTGCATGCTTTCAGTTTTGGGGATATATACTCAATGGTAGAACTGCTGGACCACATGGCAAGTCTATCTTTAATTTCCTTAGAAACTTTCATATTTTTTTAGGATCTCACATTTGCATCCTGCCATGATAATTTCCTGTGTGTGTGTGTGTGTGTGTGTGTGTGTGTGTGTGTGTATACACTTGAGAGACAGCAGTAAAATGAATGCATATATGCTGGGGTTGTGAGGGATGTTATTTCTTCTATGAAAGAAAACTTAAGTATGTTGATGTTTGGGCAAAGAAAAGTACATTACAGCCAGTTAGGAAGTTAAATAAAGAAACTTATCCAGCCAGTAAAATCAAAGTATGTGGGTCATCTCTTAGAGAATGCTTCAGCAATCCACAAAATGACTTTCACTTTGTCTCACTGGCATAATACGACATTTTAAAAGATAAGGCTATTATGAGTTGAAAATAAAATGGATCACCAGGTTTAAATGGTTGTTTAAAAGAGACAATTTAAATTATGAAAGCAGAGTTTGAAATCTTGTAAGGTTATAAAATAAATTGATAATATATAGAAGTTATTCTTATTTCTATTATACCTAAGTCTTTCTAAAAACATAGTGAAAATCTTCAATTTAAGATAAATGAGGTATGCATATATAAGTGGAACCCACTTTAAACAATTAATTTGTTGTGTACCCTAAAGAGTTTCCCATACCAAGTTATGGTTTATTGCAGAAAGATAAATCAGCAATTTGGAAAACTTCATTTTGTGTTAGTATGGCACGGGTTTTAGCAGTTATCAAATAGTTAGATTTTAAACACCAGTGATTTAATCATACTCTAAAATACTATTCTACAAATTGTTTCAACACATCTTTGTTAAACAAACATAGCTTCTAACTGGGCTTCTACAAATGGCTGCAATTTGCCACTAGAAGAATAGCCAACTACTGTTTAGTACTAAATTTTATTTATCTCTGGAATTTGTAACTGAATTTCAAATTAACTGCTTTTACAGATATTAACCAATTAACAAAATCCAAGAACTATCAGTGAACCATTACACAATGTGTGAATTGATAGTTAACTCCAAGCTATGATTTGTTAAACTCATTGCTATTGTTGTCATTAGGATTTTTTGTAAATGAAAATGCTATATACTTAACATAGAAAACCAACAAGTTAAATTTGTTTTAATAATTTTATTTCAAGGTCTAATTTATTTCAAGGCCTAAGTGAAAAGGCCAAATCATCAATATATTTATATTCATTAAAAAGTATCTTACTTTGTTAGACTCTATGATATCATAGTTTGGATCATAAATTCACAATATGCTGAGTATAGCTGGTAAGGCTACACTTATACATGTTACTCACTACTGCTATAATGAGTTTCTGTGTTTTTGGTTAAGTAAATTATTGATGCTTCCCATGTACAACATTCCACTACACAGTGGACATATCATTAGGAACTGGTGAAATACAGGCAAGATTCCATCTTGGCTTTAAGAAGTACAAAATCTAGGCAGAAGTGAATGAATGTTGATTGGTATTAGTTGGTGGATTTGAATTAGAACATATTAACAGAAAAGTAAATGAGTGTCTGAATAATGCAAAATATTCTACAAATTTTCTACAAGAACCTAGCTGTTTTGCCACCCAACTCCACTTTTAGGACATCCTGTCATGGTCATCAAGGGGCTTATGACCTTTTCTACCCTAACTGGCATCAATATCCTTCTATGCTAAGCCAGTAGTCACAACATTTCTAAATGAAACTGTGTCCTCAAGTGTCTCTAAAGAAATATCTCATGGTTGTGCTCTTAGATTCTGTTTCAAATGAATGATGCTCATCCCATATGAGTACCTTCATGGCTCTTTCATTTACCTGTCTCATTATCAAGATGTTATATACTATAATTATTTGCTTGTGCATCCATTACACCTACTTAGACCAAGGTTCTCAAGTGAGGGCACAGTGATAGTATCATTTGGTGTTAAAACTTTAGATTTGTAAGAGTTTCCATCAGTAACTTCTTCCCTTTTGATATAAACACACTTTCCTTAGTCTTATATTAAATGAGTGAAAACATTTCCAGAAATACTTTTTAAAATTGATCTTTAATGCATAATTTAAGTAAAACAAAACAAAACATTCACTATAAATGCAAATACAACTTCATGTCAAATATCTTAGCTCCTAAATTACTATCCCTTAACTCCTAGACAGAAATTCTGGAGCCATAATAAAGGAGCTGGATACTGTCTTTCCTTTACAGAAAACCGAGGAAACATTCATGGTTGGCCATGAGGTAAGGAACTTTCTAAGAGTATGATCTTCAAAGGGGAAATTTCAACTGTGATAACATTAATTTTTTAAAAAACCTAGCAGTTTCTGCTTCTTTTAAGAAGCAGTCCATTCTTATCTTACTGTGCTTGGTTTTATTTCAAGCATCTTGACCCAAAGTTTATTTCTGCCTTTATTAGTTTACTTGAGAATCCGTAACTAAGGAAACATTGCATCTCTTCCTTGAAAGCTTTCACATGTTCCATGAAATCTCTCTGCATTAATTATAGTGCTTAAGGCACTAAGACTTGATCCACTCCCTTATGAAGCTGCTCAAAGGCATTGAAAGAATGTTTCTTAGCCTGAAATCTCATTTGTAGTCAGAAGATCTCAGCAACGCCCTTGAAACACACACACACACACACACACACACACACACACACATGCGCGCACGCAACACATAGAGGCACAGAGGTTTATATCCTTTTTTTAAATTGGCCCTTCTGTCTTTATTATTTAATTTATAACATTGTTGAGTTCCTAATTAATAAACCAAAACTTAATTCTCAGAAGCTTAGGGGAAGTGAATTAGCTCTGTCTCCTCTTTAAGCTTTTCAGGAGGCAGCATGACAGGTACACCTCAATTACAGTGCCTACTAACAGCAAACATTTTTCACAAGAAGCGCTTTCTAGGAGGAATACAGGTCAAAAGCAACAAAGTTTAAAGAGACAGTGCATTGTGACTAACAAAAGTACCATATGTTATTATCTTAATTAAAATTATGATGACATAAGTAGTGTGGTTTTTTTTGGCCTTGCCATTTAAAAAATATATGACCTTTGATGCCCTTTTAATCTCAGAATATATTTTTCTAATTTATAAAATGTGGAGAAGGTATTCATTTTTTTAAAAATGTGAGAAGATCACAGATATCCTGAACTTACAATGGAATAATTTCCTCTGTGTTTTATGGAAACAAAGGGAAAATTTCTTGCATTATTGTTACTTTCCCCTCAAGTCTTTCCTGTTTCAAAACTTGAATTAAAGCAAGAAATAGCTGGCTAAGACTTTTTTTTTTTTGATGCTGGGGATCAATCCCATAAATACATACTAATGTGTCAGAAAACCCCTAAATTTACCAGTAAGTTATAGCCTCAGGCCTTTTTCAAATGTTATTTTGAAATAGGATCTCTTTAAGTTGCCCAATTTCTTTGTCCTCAAATTCCAATCCTCCTGTCTCTATCTCCTGAGTAGCTGGGATTACAGGTATGCACTACCTGCCCATTCACTTTTCCTTTTTAAATAAAGTGAGAATTTTTTACTCTCATCTTTAGGTGACTGACATGTACTCTCATGGTGGAAGATTTGAGATGTAGAGATGAGAAAATTGTCCCACACAGGATCATTTCTATTACTGCAGTACGTAGGGGATAAGGGTTAAACTCTGTTGTGTAATTTTTTCCCTGGTTTCAAAATTGGCTTTGGAGGGTGCGGGGCAGGGAGGAAGTGGGTGTGGCCAGTAAACCTTGATTTCTGCTGCTTAGAAACTTGGAGGGTTCTTTTAGTCCTCTGGAAACTGTGCTTATTGCATTTACTTTGTCTCTTTACTGGCTGTTTGGCTTGGTACTAATTGGTAGAAGGCTCACTTCAAATTCTTTCAAGGTAAATGGCCCAGTGGCACAGGGTTCCAGCCCTAGGGGCTCTGTGAAGAGGCTCAGGGCCTTCCTGGGGCGGGGGTACAGGATAGGAGCCAGAATGCAATACCCCTCATGCCTCTCAGGTCTAGCAACTCCACTTTGATCTGCTTTAATGTTGGACTCGCTGTGAAGACATTTCATAAAAAAGTAGGTGTTTGTGTTAAGTTTGAAAAAGTCTTGGTGATCCAGCACAAAAGAAAATTGACTGTCTGAGAAATAGCTCTCAAGAGTCAGGCAGTTCATAAACACCAAGACTGGGGTTGTATGAGGTCTTCTGACTCCATATCTCTTTCTACTGCCTGAGCCACTTCCTGTGGCTCTTCATCCTGCCTTATCTGGCCCTTTCTCCCATCATGTCCAGGGACCCAAGCCTTCCCCTAAGCGTTGTGTCATGTAGCAGCCCTTGGGCAAGGTGAGCTGCAGTTGACGCACAAGACTCTACAGAATATTTCCTGAAAATGCTGAGAAATCCATTGAAAATCTTCCAGTAGTTTTCCTAAATCCCAGTTCCTAGAGTGTGTTTCAGTAATACTAGGAATTTTTTTTTCTTCTGTGGCTCATATATATTTGCAAAGAACATGTTTTCAAGAATAGGAAGATTTGGTTTAACAATAGTCTGAACTATATGATGTGACAACACTCCTGCAAAAAAACCTAGAATTTTTTAAAAAAATAGCTAATACAACTCAGAAGATTCAAAAATAAAGCTACAGGGAAAGAAAATCATAGCACTTAGATATGACTTGAAAATAGCTAATACAACTCAGAAGATTCAAAAATAAAGCTATAGGGAAAGAAAATCATAGCACTTAGATATGACTTGATGCGTTTGCTTTTTTAGGGAGGTGGGCAGCAGCTTATTAACTCAATAGTTGGTGTCAGTATCAATTTGAGGACAAAGTTGAAACTTGGACACATTCAAGATGGAGGGAGGGACTAAGCCAGCTCCTAACTCCTGGCATATGTAAATCTATACTGGTGAGGCACTGTGTACATAGCAAAGGGAATACTCTATCCACCAGCACCAGGTGAAGACAGAGTTTGTCTCTTCATATCAATCCTCCAAATAGAAACATACAAATTCTCTCTTGAGAATTTGCAACCATAAGCAGTATAGTTTAGGGTATGGGTGTTTCCAAAGTATCACAAGTCCTCTAACATGATCTATTAGTTTGAAAACTTGATCACCAGTCCACAAAATAACCAGAAAGGATGCCTTTCGAAGGCAACAGCAGACCTAAATATCCCATGGGATGCTGCGTTTCAAATTTTATGACCCACTAGTAAAGTAGAAAAAGAAGATGAAACAAGAACTCCTAAAACTCTAGATAATGTAAAATAAAGATTTTTTAAAAGATGAAAGATATTTCAAGGAAACAATAATCTTAAAATTAGATAAAAAATAGCCAATTTTAAGAACTAAAAATTTATTGAAAATTAAAGCGACAGATTAAATAGCAAAATCAGAATTAAAGAGAGAATTTCTGAATGACAGAATATATTTGAAAATATTGTATTCAGATTGGACTACTGAGGAAGCTGGAATAAGTCATCAATATGTTATATATGTAAAAAAAAATCATCAAAAAGATATAACCATGATCCTGAGTTATGAGAAATAGTCAAAGAGAAAATAGCTTTGAAATACTGTAAATTTAAGACATCCATAAATTCTTAGATTCAGTTAATAGTATGTATGCCAACTATAACAGTAAATAAACAACTAAGCACATAATACACAAATTCTAGAACACCAAAGACAAGCAGATCTTAGGTGAAGCCAGAAAAAAAAAATAATTTCAGTTATAGATTTCTTCATGACTATTAGTCATGCATGAAAAGGATACTTTAAGAATACTAAAATAAAGTATCTGAATACTTAGAATTCTATGTTTAACTAATGGCATTCAAATATGTTGAAATACAGACATTTTCAGGCAGAAACATAGAGGAATCTTACAGACCTTTGTTCAAATGCCACTTTAAAAGAGTGGGAATTGAATCTATAATCCAGAAGATGCAAAAAAAGTGGTAATAAAAAGTCAATAAGCTAGTGAGCATCTGACTAAATCAAGTTTACTACTGACATCATGAAGCAACCCTAACAATAGTGACTGTAGACACTGTAAAACAAAATAGAGGGGAAAAAACACAATAATAGCACATAAAAATGTGGAAGAAAATTAATGATAAATGATTTAAAGTCTCTTGAAGATGCTTAAAAATGTTTCATTTGAGAAGAGATATTGATTACTTTTAATAACTTGTTGAGATATAATTTATATGACTTTACAAAAAGAAAGATCATTTAAAGCTATATGCACACATATATTTATGTATGAAAAAAAAACTGGACGTAGAATACTAATATCCATGAGAGAACTACACATGCCCACTGAAGAAAGTTCTTCCTAGGAAGAAAAAGATTAAAGGAGGACTTTTAATATATCTTCAGATTTTTATTTCTGTAGAAAGAAAAGCACAAGATGTGTTTCCAATAATATCGAAACATCTTGATGTCATATAATTTGTTGTATGTTTGATATGTCATTGTTAGAAGTTCAGTGACACTTTTGATTTTACATTTTGCAAAAGGAAAGACGGGGAGTGAGGTTCATTCGCACTGGGAGGCACAGCCCTGTATTTACGTGTTGTGTTTCTCTAAGGCATCCTCAATCTGTGCTTTTAATAGGTGTCAGGGGCACAGCTGTGAATTGTCTGGCAAAGGGGTGAGGCCATTATGTCTTCAATAGTGACTATGCAGAGGTCTACCTACGGCCATTAGGAGAAGTCATAAAGAGTCCAACCCATGGAGTACTTATTAGGGTTTCCGTGGCTTTTCTGGAAAAATCCATGCTTTTTGTTGTTGTTTTCTTTTCCTTTTGTTTTTGTTTTTCTTCCCCATACAGGTCACAACACAAGCAGAACAGAGGCAATCATCTAGCAAGGTCCTGTGCTCAAGGAGGCGTGGGCTACCTCCATCCTTCTCCTCTCTTGGCAGCACTGGAAGAAGTAAGGCTGGCCAGCAGTCAGTGTCAATGAAAGGACAGCATCATAGCAAACAGGCTTGTGGTGAGACTTTAAGACACACAGGAAGTTACAAGAGAAACAGCATTTGTTTCAACTCCACCCACTGACCTTTCAGCAAACAGCAACATCCTCAGGACTCTTAGAGGAATGGTTTTGTAACCCTGGGGAAAAGACACTGCTTCTAAATATAATTGACATGGCTTTCCTGCCTTCATTGGGGTATCCATTTTCCCCCACATAATCTTCCCATTGTCCACACTGATTCCTGTTTGGTTTGGCAGGGGAAGCTGCTGGCAGGCTTCCCATGTGTTGAATGTTCCTTACTTCACTGTGCTGGGCCCACTGAAATAACAGTAGGCTTCTCTAGCTCTCTGAAAAAAGAGCCAAACTCCACATGAATTGTGAAACTCGTTTCTGGTTACCAAGAAAACGTAAAGAAATTGCAATGAAGAAAAAAAAAATCATTGAAATTCTTTCTAACTTTTGAACAAGAAAGATATTTTTAGCACTTTAGATTTATGAAAGTCAGTGCTTCAACTTCCTGCCAGATTTTGATACCTCCTATTCTTTGCACTGCATTATTTAAATACACTGTAAATATCCTTAGTTGCCTGAAAAGCAACTAAGATAGTGCAAGATGGCCAGTGTCTGAGGACCTTGTTGACTCTGAAAGACAAAAGTTCTATCTCTGGTCCATAAATCTAAATTAGAACTATGATAAAGGTCCCAATGAAAGATCCCATATGAAATCCATATTTTGACAGCTAGATAAGTAGGTCATTTTTAAGACAGATTTTGAATCCCTGCCCAGAGTCAAACACAGCCCAGCAGCCTTGAAGTAAACACTTCTTAACTGACTGGGTCAGTGTCCTGCCTTTTAGGGTACAGGAAAAGTTGGAAGTAGAGGACAGGTTGGAAAGTCTGAGCCTGGAAAGATGACTCCTGACTTGGGTTGCTATTTTGATATTTTTTAACTTATGTTACATTAAGCTTTATGCTATTTGCTGAAAATACCATCCTGTTTAAAAAAAAAAATCCCAAGCCTGTAAAGAAAATACAGGAAACATGAAGAGAGTATGCTATATATGAAGCCTGTGGTATAAAACTCTATAAAACCCAGAGGTCTTGAGTGTGGTAGGGTATGCCTGTAATCCCAGCACTCAGGAAGTTAAAGCAGGAGGAGTGCCACCAGTCCAAAGCCAGCCAAGGCTACCTAGTAAGCTTGAGGCCAGCCTGAACTGAAACTGTGTCTCAAAAACCCAAAACCAAACCAAACCTAACCTAACCAAAAAAACCAAAACCAAACCAACCAAACAAACAGAAAAACATAGGCATCAATCACTAAGATGTACTCAAAGTGCCTGTTTCTTTAAGGGCAATGCAGTTTAGATGGTAAGGAGGAATAGAGATAATCCATTTATATGTACTCTGTAATAATGGTAGCTCACAGCCTATCAGAGGGCAGAGCAGGCAGGCCAGTTGCCCTGCAGTGGGTACCTTCACTCTCCCCACTGCCATGTAGCTTCTCTGCTCTTGCTGCCTATAGGCCTCCATCAATAACTTCTGGACCAATGGATTCTAGGGCTTTTATCCTCTGATCAGCAAGCAGACTTCTTCTTTTTCTTGAGACCAACTCTTTGCAGAGGTATTCTAAAAGTAGAACTTTAAAGTCTCAATAATATAATTCTGCTAGCAATAGTTGTCTTCTTCAAACGGTGTCCTGCCATGTCCTTTCTCAACACCAACAGCACCTTGATAAGAATTGGTAAAGTTCCTTTTTATTAAGAACATTGTCTTCCTTCTAGCAGAAAATTGCAAAGAAAGTGTGTTCCTATTTTCAGTATGTATGATGCTTTCTTATATGTGCTTTGGTTCAGTGTCCAACATGACTGTCTAGATGTGATGTTCTAGTTAAGTACAGCTGGAAAGAGAAAGTTAGGCATAGCTCCCTTAGAAGCTTCTATCCTCCATATCATAAAAGTCTTGCTGCAGAAACCAGATCATTCTCTAGGATTTCTCTGATAGGTTCTGCTAGCCTAGGGCTTAGCTATCTGTAACATGATATCTACCCAACTTGGTACTGGATCCAAAGAAACAACTTACCTCTCCAAGAGTAGCTTCTGTGTTTTCTTGTTCCAGAGATAAATCTGCTCTTGTTTTGTGCATGTGCGGAGCCCTCTGTGATCCCAAGACTCCACAACCACCCAGGCCTCCACCCCCAGCCCCAGTAAATCTTTCTATCTCCTGTTTTACACAGGTAGATGCTCCTTCAAATCAGCTGTTAATGTCATTTTGTCGACCTCCCAAACTCCTACCCCAGCCAAAACTGATACAAGTAGTTTCACTTCTTTGTTTTTGCTGAGCCGCTGCACCCCTATAAGGCACTCCCATTCCCTCATTAAAGGCCTCTTCCTACTTTGTCTTCTTATCTCTCCTGTACCACTTTAGATTGAGTACCCAAAATAGTCATTCTCAATGAAGCTTCATTTTAGAGAGTTTGTGCTCTTTTTCTCTTGTCTAGCCTCCTTTGAGGAATATACCCCTCCTTCCTGGTCATCAGACAAACCTATATATGTCCTAATTCAAATATCTCATTCAGGTTCTCTTTCAAAGTGCTCCTGGGCCCCTTGCAAATCTAGGTAGCTTGAATTCTAGATTGCAAATCTAGGCAAACATCTGTTAGTATGCCATAGAAAACATCAGAGGACTATAAACTACTAGAGGCTGGATGACTTCAAGATTCAGGATGGTCCTAAATTCATAGGTGGCCTGTCAGAGACTTACCTGAATCCATCCCTCTAATAATCTTTTATGAAAATAACAGCAGTCAGTAAGCTACTTACTAGCTTTTTTTCCAATCCTCCTTTTCTCTCCAGATCAGAAAGAACTCTTGTGAGCAACATCAAAGTTCAAGTTGGAGTGTTACACTTGAGTCAAAATGAGTTTGCTAGAGTTTGAATGTTCCTCAAAAGTCCATATGTAAAATTGTGGTTCTCAGGGTGCTAATATGTGGACCTTTAAGAAGTGGGCCATGATGAGGTGTACTTACATCATTGAGGGTATGCCCGTGTGAAAGGGATTATGAAACCCCAGTCTCTCAGACTGCATCCTTGTAAGATATTTGCTCCTGCATGTGCTGCTATTTTGATGAACCACACATGCATCTTGCTGTGGCCAAAAGCGATAATTTGCAAGGACTGTCCAGCCTTGGACTTGAATTATCAAACTATGATCTAAGTAAAACTTTTCTGTTTGTAAGTTGTCTCCAGTTGTAATGCACAGCTGACTAATACAAAGCCCTTTCTCTTTTCCAAATTATAGTGAAATGAATAAACTTAGTGGTAATGCACTGGAGCTTGGGGTTACAATGATTAATGGAGTGGTTCTTGTGTTCAAGCAACAAACAAGGATAAAAACAAAGTTAGTCCTCCGCATGGACTCCACATCCATGAATTCAACCAACTGTACATTAAACACATTTGGAAAAAATTACATCTGTACTAAAAGTATACAGGCATTTTTCTTTTCACCCCCCAAAATATAGCATAACAACTGTTTACATGAAATTTACATTATATTAGCTATTATAAATAACCCAGAGATGAATTAAAGTATTTTGGAGGGTATGAATATAACCTACTGACCTTTTTTTATATGAGACTGTAGATTATAGATTTTGGTGACAGTAAAAGCTCCTGATACTGAGAGACAACTACTGACATGATAGATAAAGCAGACAAAGCCAAAAGAAGGTGAGTCTAAGTTTACTAAAATAGCAACACTTGAAGTGAAATCTGAAACTGACTTGTCTGCTCTAAATCTTACTCTTCCATGAAGGCAAGCAGAAATTATAGACCAAGAAAAAACATCATTAGTGTCATGGTAAGAGAGTAAACAATGTTGTTGGCTCAGGAGAAGAGGGAGCAGATCTCTCTCAGGGTGTAGAAAGGTGACAAGAATGGAGAAGTGTAAAGGAACAGAGGTAAGGCATGTCCCAGCAACAAGGAGAATGAGCAAAGGCATGACCTGGGTCCGGGTATGCACAGAGAAGGGAGATTGTGATAAATGCTATGTGAACCATCTAGTGCAGCTCATCTGGATGGTTGTGTTGATTTAGCAAAAACAATGGATTATCAGAAGTGATGAAGAAAGATGCAGAAGATCTTCCTCATACTCTAGGACAAAAAATGCAGGACATAAACCATACCAGCCAAAGTGGGACAAGAAAGCAAGCCAGAAGAGCAAGTTTATAAGAAATGCATCTTCTGCTTCTGGATATTCAGAATGTAATTTCTAAATGGACACACACAGATACATTGTTTTTCAGTAATGGAATACTATTATTTTGGATGTCAGTATTTTTAATAAAGCAGATTAAAGTTGATTTGGTCAAAATGCCTCAAAGACACTCTAATTCTGCTTGAAAAAAAAAAAAACCAAAGCTCAGTGGGATATAACTATTACCTAAATACCTGATCTTTATAGGTATCTATTTCTAGCCCCTATTTCTTTACCCGCCCCTACCCTGGGAAATTGGAATTACATCCTTTCATATTGTTTGTGACTTATCACACTAAAATTCTGCTCTGTGAATGCTCACTCAGAATGTCAGAAGGATGCCTGGTAAAAGTGACATAAATATTGGTCTTTTTGCTTTTTCAGCCAACCACCCAGTCAGTGACTATTAACGGGGTGCTGATGCTATGTGTCCACATGCTTCTACATGCTGTAGATGCAGCACTGACTGACAGTTCCAAGATCAATGAATTTGTATACTAGGCAGAGAGAATTTGTATACTAGGCAATAAATACATTTGAACAAAGCATAATTCTAGACATAATTAAGTGTTACAAAAAAACAGCAATGTGATTGAAAGCCACTGAGGCTGGGCATTCTCAGGAGGTAGTGTTTGACTTGTAACATGAAAGATAAGAAGGAAAGAGTTCCAAGATGATCTTGGAGGAGATGTACATCTTAAACAGAAGGTTTTACAAACCCAAAACTTAGAGCCTGGTGTTTGCTCTATATGTTAGAAGGTTGAAAACAAGGCCACAGGGGTGGGAGCATAAGTGGGTGGTAAAGAGGTAGCATATGGGTTTTTACTGGGAAGAGCAGATCAAATGGGGTCTTATGGCTGGATCAACAAGCAAGTATTCACTTCAAGTATTTTGTGAAGCCATCAGGGGAATGAATTGATCTGGCTGACATTGTAAGGTTGGACTAGGGTGCTAGGTGCAGAATAAAATTTTGAAGGACAAAGATGTAAGGAGAGAGCTCAGTTATGGAAGAGAGGAGCCCAACTTGAACTACAATAGAAGCAACAAGAAACTAAGGTTAGATATGCAATTCAGAGGTATGGTGAACAGACAAGTCCACTCAAATCCAATAGGTGGATTTAAATAGGGTATTACACAACAAAACTAGCAAGAACCATTTTCTTTGTTTTAAGCTGTTTGGTGGATGGTAGTGTCATTTACAGAGATGGAGAAGACATGGGGATGGGAGTCAACCTGGCCTACAGCAAAGGTATGGAAGTATGGACAGGAGTCAGTGGCTCTCCTTGGCCTCTTAAGTCAGATAGATTCAAGAGAAATTCCTGGGAAGGCATTTGGCAGGTGGAACTGAGGAAAACTGGGCCAGGTATAGATCCTAAATTTACAAGATCATTAAGAGATATCTTTGAATGCTTACTATCTGAGGGACAATGATGAATAAAAAATGTCAGAAAATGCCTCCCTACTGAAAACTGGCTCCAGAATAGTTCAGAAGGTAGGCAAGGCTAGGCTGATCCCTTGGGCTGGATAGGGAGACGGAACATTCACCTGTTTCTGAGAAGAAACTTTGCAGGGTGACCATCTGGTCTCCTTTGCAGAGTACCAGATCCTTGCCACAAATCTGTCCTTGAAACAACAAATTAGGCTTTGCAATAACACAGTTAGGCTTCTGCAAAGCATGGTGCTGTGTAAATCCATAGTGTTAGAGATACCATTGTGACATCTAGGTGCTGTTCCAACCTCGGCGCAGTGCATCCAAACAAAGAGGCCTTTCAGTATGGTTTGTGTTTAACCTCAGATGGAAATAGCTGTGTGGGGAAATAAATTACGCATGAGTTCTAAGGACTGTTCAGAATGAGAGTTATTATCTTCAAGTGTTTAATTTTTTAAAACAATTCTTAACTCTCCCAGTACTGGGAGGAATTATCTTAATGTTACCAACATAGTACATCTTTACTTGTATTAGTCTGATGTGTTTTTTACTTAGTGTTTGCAAACTCTGTAGAGGAAGCCATGCCAAACATACTAAAAAAAACATTTGATTTGCTTTAAAAAAGCAATGAAAGACAGGAAAAAAGAAATTTGATAGAGGGAAAGAAGAGATGAATTAGAGAAAACTAGAAAGAAGTAAAGAAAAAGGAGGAAAAAAAGGAGAGGGAAGAAAAGCAGAATGGAGGGAGAAAGAATGACCCTTCCTGGCAGCCTTAACTTCACACGAAATATTTGGAAGCAGTAAGTGATTTTAATAGAATCAAAAGGATTTCAGATGATAACTTCTTTCCTTTCTTCCACATAATTAATATTCTTGGGGTACTGTTTTGTAAATCTACACGAGGAAGGTTTTGAGAATTTATCTCTTCCATCAGTCTACTTATCTATCAATTCATGGAAGAGGAAATAGTTCAATAACAGTATAGCTAAACCATAGGGAAAAATTTATAATCGACCATGCAAGGACTGTTCTAGACATTTGAGTAGGTGTTTATTCTCTCAGCAAATAGGAACATCATGCTCACCATGTAACACACACTAGTAAGGCACTGGAAATGACCTTGTACACAAAGAAGGTATGGTTGCCGTTCTCGCATTTGTTCATGCTTTGATAACTAAGTAATTTCTGAATATAAGAAAATACATAGCTATATTATTCTTAAATTCTGAAAATGCTATGCAGAAAAATGTGAAAGAATATATGACAAAAGGACCTCATAAAGGTCTGGGAAAAATAAGTCAGGAAAGATTTCTTGGAGGAAATAATATTTCATTTGAGACCCAAATAGTAAACAAACGTGCACCAAATGGAGGGATAAGGAATAAAAGTACATACTCTTAATGAAAAGTGGATGTGGAGATAGACATACCTATCAATAATTATAATCAACACAATGTTACCCATCCCATCAGCATGCTTCAAAGTATCAGTAGGCCTTGAGTCCTTTTGATATGTTTACCTTATTCTTCCTGGTTTTTTGTTTGATTTTGCCTTTGTTTTTTAATTTATACTAAGGGTTAAATTCAAGTTCGATAATATAGTATTCTAATCTTAACTTGACAGATTAACATGGTTGGAAGTGGATTATTCTGAACTTTTATGATAAGTGTTTATTTTGAAAACAAAAGAGAATCATTTAAGATTTTTGAAGAGGAAGAATTGTCTTAGAGAATGTGATGATAGAGAATGGTTAGGGGAAAGAATAGAGGCATTGAGAATATTTAAAATTTAGGTATGATTTAGAGTAACAGGAAGAGATGATAAATGAAGAGCTGATGGCATTTGTTACTTGGATGATTATAAGGGCCAACAGAGAGGAAATTACTATAAAACTGAGGTTGCAATCTCAGTGAAACCCTTAACATCAGTAAGGACATCACAAGGGCTGCTGATTTCAGGTCTCTCCTAAAATAGCCAAAGGAGGATTTATCTTCCCAAGTCTTGTTATAAAAAAACTGTGATAGTTTGGGAAGAAATATCAACTAAGCTTCTGTAAGGAAAAGCTAGAATTTGGCTGACACGTTAGCTCTCTAAAAGTCTGATGATCATATGCATGGGTTTAATGGCTGATCTGTGAAAATCTAGATCAGAACCTTGGAGCCATAGGGTTGAGAGCACAGGAAGTAAGAGCAGAGGACAAGAAGTATTCTGGGGTTAGTAGGCCACCTAGAACTTTTAATATTATGAAGACCATGAAGAGTTTCTTAAAATGGTTGCGGTGATAATTGTGTTTCAAGAATGACAAATGCTTTATGAAAATTTAAGACCAATGAGAACTTTAGCAAGGGTATGGAAATCGCAGTACATAAAAGTATTAATATCTTGACATACAATCAGTAGGAGTTAGAAAGATTTATTAGTTAAAGATATGTGCTTGTTTATGTCCGTGGATGTCATATAACATGCAAGTAGGCATGTGTATGTGCAGTTACATACTTGCTCACATATTACCCTAGAAGGATTACTTTAAGGAAAAGAAAAGATGTCAGTGGGACTAGTTATAAGAATAAGGTATACCCTTTTTTGTATACCATTTTTTTAAGATGTAAAGAGTTTTTTTTTAATTTTTAAATTTTTATTAGTACATACTTATAATACATAATG